TTCCCAGACGCCGTTTAATAGGCAGCAATCACCCCAGGAGTGGGGAAGCCAAGTACGCTTGAAACATGGTTGCAATTCCTAATAGGTCTTGTCACACTTAAGGCACTGCAAGCTCCATCCAACGAACAGCTGAAGCTAGCTGGCGATTCATAAAGCCAACAGTTTAAAGTTTATTATGATGAAAGCACTTAATGACAGCCATCGCTAGGGGCCCATCATTTATAAAGCTGTGCTGAGTATTAGACATGTAGCATGACCACCAATTTTATGTCACAATTGCTACCATAAAATGACCTTTGGTGATTTTTGCTGCATGTGGTGGACAGCTCTTCCTTCACATTAGTGCTCTGTGGCTTTCTTTGCAGACTATTATGCTGTCTAAAGCTTATTTGGCACTGTCGTGAGCCTCAACCCTTGTTATTACCCCGAAGGCCTGTCTTAAAAAAAAAACAAAAAAAAAAAACCCCTCATGCTCTATTACGCCACTCCAATAATTTACAGTTCTTACCAGCCTTGGTTCGTGTAATATTTTAATGCAAATATGCTTTACCATTGCATTTTACTTAAAAAGAAAAAAGTTCCCATGCTTCTGGCTGGCACAATATCCATTTGATGGGAGTTCACGGAAATCAGCCTCTTATTCCCTGGTCAGGTCTCACTGAATGGGCACTCGTTTCCCTGGTCGGTTAAAACACCTCCAGAAAAAAAGAAAGAAAGAAAGTTAATTAAACTTCTCTTGAGAAAGAGAGATTTTTCTAAAAAGATCCTATGTGTGATAAACCCACCTAAGGCAGAAACACCAATTCTTATTTCCCTACATCCAGTCCCCGTGCAAATTTGCATCTGAGTAACATTATTTAATTAGGATTCCATTTGCCAACCTGCTTTGTGTAGTTAGAAAATGTTTGAATACACGGCCACTTTACCGCTCCCGTGCAAACCACTGCTGAGAAAGCAGTCTGTCCATGCTACACCACCTTTAAATTGTGTATATAATTTTATAAATGATATAAAATCTGCTTCTAGTCCCTGGGGGAAAAAAAAAAGAAACACAAGCATGGCACACTGCAATTTTGGAAGGATTTAAAATATGTGATTTCTGCTGGTACCTACTGTATTGGTTTTTATATAAAGCTTTTTTCAATAAGGTAAATTGTTACATGACAAACTCATCTTCCACCATTATCATCTGCTGTTTGTGTTTAACAACAGGAGTCCCGCTCTAACAAAACTGTTGTAATGGCTGTACAAATTACTCAGCTGAAAGCTTTTCACCAAACAAAACAGTATTAATCAGCAGTTCTTATGAAGGTGCTAATTAAAAACAATTTTCTTCCTCAGTTTGCAATACTAAAGCCATCTTCACTTGCACAGTTTCCAATATACGGCTACTGTATTTGCTCACACTTCAGGCCCTCTATTAACTATTGAATCTCCTATTAGTAATTTTATTACATTTCTGTTCACAAGCTTGTTGACATTTTAAAAGTCACGGCATGATCTGTTTTATCTACTAAAAAATGTATTAATTGAAAAGTCAGGGGACCAAAAAAGGGAAAATATAGACTCCAAATGCACAGACTCCTAGGGCAGAGAACATGGTGAGCATTCAGCCACAGCCTGGGCAGTAAGCTCTCTGGGTAAAACAAAATCTGAGAATTAAAATGGGCGTTTCAGGCTTAATGGTTTGTTACACACCAACAAGATCTTTCCTAATTTAGATACTGTCCTCAAAGGAAAACATTTGCCCTATGTTGAAATTCAGTTCTGACGGAGACCTAGTCTGACTTTCAAATCAATCTTTTCTCTATGAGGTACAATCAGCAGAAGCATGACATTTCATACAGTGTGAACTCAGATTTTGACTGGGGTGGAGTCTAGGAACTGGAGCCCAGATCTAAGGTCTAACCAGCTTAATCTTGGGGGCGGGGGGTGGGGGTGGGGAGAGGAGGGAGAGAGAGTCAGAGTCTACACATACTCGGATTCCCGCATGGCTATCCTGTCCTGGCCCCCACCCCCCTCCCGGCACCCTGCTGGACAGAGCCACAAAATTGTTTGGCGTAGCTTGGAAACAAGTCAAATGCTGACTAAGCGCAAACACAAACTCCGTGGAAGCTGGGTTTGGAGAAGGGAACAATCTAATTCTTTTTTAAAAACAAAACACAAAAGTCTAACCCTTAGGGGAAGGTATGTCCCACTTTGGTAGTGGAGAGAAGAAGGAAAAAAAAACCAAAACAACCCACCACTACTGCAACATTCTCCTGCCTGTGGTATTAAAACCAGGTTCTTCAATTGTTAAAAGCAGTTAACTAGTTTAGGACAGACACCTGGCTGTTGCAATAGGGCTCCAGAGGGCCACTAATCCTTCCATTCACTCAGTTAACTGCTGGATCCCCCAAATTGATTCAACAGGTATGCAGTGGTAAATTCAGCCCATACTGAAGCCAAAGGGAAAATCAGCAAGGGGCGGGCAGCTCTTCTCTGAAAACACCCGAGGAACCAGCCAGAAAAGCTTTTATGGCCCAGACAAGTTTTCTGCTGAATACTGAGCACCTAAATTACCCTTCCCTAATGGAAGTTACATTTTCATGCTCAGTCAAAAAGCCAACAAAATACACAATTTATACAAAATGGCATCAACCTCTTAGGTAGTCTTTTCTAGCACTTTTATCCGAATTCACAGCATATGTCTTGCTGCAAAATAAAATATATTTCTTATAACCAACTTGTATGTGGCTGTTCATATCACCACATTAGAACTGACCATGGGTGATATTAGAAGCATTCTTATATCCAACCAAATCTACTTAGTTTTGACAAAGCAAAATTAAGAGTTTTATCAGAAGATACAGGTACAGTGGGAAGAGGAATATCATAATAATTCTTATGATTTCCTAAGCAGACAGCCTTCCTTTTAAAACAAACACACACATAATCAATGATATTATAGACAATTATGGAATGGGACATTTCAGTTGCAATTATACAACCCAATACTGATGCCTAGAAACGATTCTTAATTATAAAGTTCAAAAGAAACAGAAATGAATAAACTTTCTAAAGCAGCTGTATTTCCCCCTTCTCAGTACTGGGATTTTATTAAAATGTGAGAAAATAAAAAACACTCTTAAGTTACTCAATAATATGCATTAGTTTCTCACAAACTTCCAAAGAGCCTGGCTAGAGACATTTCTAGGTAAGAGTCCCGCACAGAGGAGATCTATGAAATGCTCAACATTTTATAAGAGGTTCTCTAGGTTTTAATCACACAATAAGCACATTTTTTTTTACTAGGTATTTCTTGGTAGGAACAGCTCAATTCTTACACCCTGTCTCGAGCCTAGGTAACTGTACAGACTATTCTCAGATACTAAAACGAAACAAAACAAAACAAAAAAACATTACTGGCTTACTTTTTAAAATACAATTTCTCTCAGAGAAATAAATACTGGGTTTCTACACCCACAATGCACAAATGCAAATTGAATTCCTGCCAATTCATGTATTTTCATGAGGAAAAATGGAAATATTCTCATGATTCTGTTGTTCTATATTTTAAAAGAAAAAAGAAAAGAATAGACCATCTTAGGTGCTACTGCAGGGATGGGTTTCCTTTGTCTGGCAGATTTAGTTGTAGGTTTTACAGAAGGAATAATTCCTGCTGTATTTTCACAAGTACAAATGGAACTACCTGTGTTGCCTTTTAAAGCATTCCAAATTCTAATTTTTAAACAAGAAAATATGAAGCCAGTGTGCAACCTATACAGTCACCAAAGGAGAGCTGCCACTAGCTGAACTACTCAGCTAAATGGCTGGTTTGCATTGCCCTGGTCTTTATCTAGCACTGAGAATAGACTGCTGTTTTATCCAAAGAGGAATAAATTGCTGTTATTGTGATGTTAGCCCATCACTTGGCATTGCAATTCAAGTTTTTGTGAGAAAGAAATGTATGATCTAACTGCGACTTGACCTATGCCTTTCGAGATCCATCTAGGTGCTCTAATGGAGCAGAAAAAGTAGCGAATACAAGGACATGCAAACTGATGGTGAAAAATTTGTTTGATGATAGAAGGGAGCAGAGAAGACATTTGAGAGTCAGCTGTTTTTATGACAGCTAAGTTTGTTTAACATGCAAAAGGATCCCCCCACCAAGTCTCCCTTTAATTGTGTCACACTAAATACATGCTTAGAAAGATGTGAGGATGTATAGCTAACCTACTAATGACATGACTGCTAAAGTGGGCACAGATGATTCCTTACAGATAAACATCTGAATTTCCACAAAAGGCATTAGAGCATCTCGTGATGCGCCAGGCAAGAATACGCTTGGCTTCCCTGCAGAAAAGTCATTCTCTCTTAATCCTAGGTAGCACCTATTAAATGTTTACTATAAACTTGAATCACAGCATAGAACAGTATACGCTTACTTTAAATAAGATAATTGTGTGATTGAGTTTTTAAACACACCCCCCCCCCCCCCCCCCATTGCAGTCTAGTTTGTCAACCATTTATTCAGCATTTCTCTGGAAAGGACCTGTTTTGAAAGAGGCCTGGAGAACAGCAGCAGAGAGATTTGAGCCCTGATAAAGGCTCACTTTTCATTCGTAGTCAGAGCCTAAATGTGCTCTTCTCGTACCTAAACAGATAATAAGCACTCAGCACACTCCTCCTCCTTGACACAACACATTGAGACTAATCACACATAATTGGAGAGGAGGAGCAGAGGGCTGGCCACGCTATTGTGTCCAGAGGACAAACGGTCAGTTTATGAGGCTTTGGGCTGATGTAGTCATTTCTTATACATCTATAGGGAAAAAAAACCATCCTGTTTAAAAGGAAAAAAAAAAGAATGAGTGAGGGAGATAGAACCAGGGAGGGCAGCTTTAACACAATTTAAGGGAGATCAGAATGATATATGCTTTATTTTGATTAACCAGAATAGAATAATCATTTTGCTGTTTTACAGATTAAAAACTACCACCGCCAAAATGGAACAAAGACCAAGATATTTTTTAAAAGGGGGGTGGCAATCGCAAAAAGAAATTTTGTCTCAGTGAGATGTAAACATTTTTAGGTTGCTCACAAGTCCAATTCAAATCTCAGACAGGCTGTTTCCAGACATTTAGAGACAAACAAAGGTTTGGTGCGGGAAGAGCAACAAGCAGACTGAAAAAAGAGGTGTCGAGGATGGCTGGGAATAATGTGGGTGAGGGCTGGGGGACTCCATCATCCACACGTGGAACGTCGCAAGGGTGGCGGGGGCCCAGGGCCTGGGGGCTGGCAAGACTCAGGGAGCCAGTAGTTCACTGCATGTTATACCCACTACGGATTTCTGTTTTTGTTAAATATCCCCTCTGCACTTGATGTTTCTTCATCTTTTGAGCAGCTTAATCTTCTATCCACTTTTGGTTAGAATAAGAAGAAGTGGGTAATGAAGGTTTTCATCGTACATATCCTGGTTTTCCTTTTTCAACTGAAAACAATAATAGAAAAAAAAAAGTAAAGAGACTCAGATTAGGAATTTTTACCAGTCGATTTTAATAATGAATATAATAAAGACTTCTTACCTAAATATATTGTTCTGGAAAAATAAATATTTTTAAGAAAGCAACTCAGAGTAGTACTCAGTGGCATTGACATGTCAATACTATGCATCAAGATGAGAACTGTGTGTGTGTGGGCGTGGGTAGAGTGTTTTTTCATAAACAGCTGCGCTGCATTTGTGACTCCCTGACTATAAGGCCCTTCCGTGAAGGCAGACCCGGGGTCTGGTTCATCTTCACCGGGCCAGCCATTTGGCGTAGATGCTTCTGCTCTTGGACCTCTCTATCCCCCCACCAGCGCCCCGGGAATCAGACAGGTGGCCTCTCAGATCACTGGCTGGAGACTGGCAACACCCGGGCACAAGGGAAAGGCTTGTGGGGCCTGAGACATTTCAAAGACTCTCCAGTCACTTCCTAGGGGATTAAATATTAATGATAAGTCATTCAAAAATTCTTTTCTCTGAGGAGAAAAACTTATTCCCACAATTAGACCAGCAAGCTTGGACACTATTCAGGTGAAGTTCTGAGGGCCTTCCCAAGACAGACTTTAAACTCCTATCAACATTCTCAGCTCTGAAGTACACATGGCCTCTTTGGCTAGAATAATTCTGATAGTCATATTTATATGTTATTCTAGCAAATAATAATTTGCCATTTTTAAAGACAAAATTAATATTTTTGAGCCAATTTTTAATTTGTAAGGGTCAGAAATAAATAGTTCTCTTAATTATACATGGAACCAACTCTTTTATTTTCAAATCAGACAAACCTCCCGGCCTCTACCCCGAGGCTAAATGAGTGGCTCCCACCTGACAGACACCGTCCTGGATTAGTAGGGCTGGCGCAGAACTTGAATCTTTCCACAGTGCATATTTCTTCTATGTCATATCCCCAAACTGAGACCTGCCCCCACTATCAAGGGCAGGAGCAGCGAGCCTGTTTTTCCTTTTCTACTGGGGAACATATAGGCAACCCAGTCCTTCTAGTCCATTTTTCTAAGGTCTGATGGTGGTACAATCACTGACATGACTCTACTCTGTTTTCGTAGATGGAGTTTGTTCTATTTACAGGTGATTTGTTGTCTCTTTAGGAAGAACCTCATGGATTTCAGCTGCCACCAAAATAACAACGGTGTTATTTCTAAGCACACATCCCTCAATATCACACTTTAATTAAAAAAAAAAAAAGAAAGAAAAAAGAAAAAGAGAGAGAGAGAGAAAATGGCTTCCTAAACTTCCCAAACCAAACCCACTAATAGGGACCTACCAACTGTAAATACCTTTGATGTCAGTTGCCCTAGTGATGGAAGGAGCTCACTGAAATATTTTACAGAGGGAAGAGGGGGCCAAGCTAGCTAAATTCTTCCTCAGGGATTGGGGATAAGGTAAAGTTGATTACTCAGTGTGAGTCAGCTGACCTACTCACTCACAATGCACTAATATAGAGACTCAAATGAGCTCTTTATAAAGTCCCTGAGGTAATATGTGGGATAAATAATTCTTCTGTAAATATGGGTTAGAAATCGCTTTTAACTTGGATTCTATGCTGACCTCTGGAGGCCAAACAGAGGCTTCCTTGCTAGGAGGGGCCAGGGGCCAGCCCTGTGCTGACTGAGAGCCCTTCTTGGGATGGGGAAGAGCCGACAACCCTCAAAGGCAACACTGCACCCAGCCCCAAATCACCGCTGAATCCAGTCTGTTATGTGAGGGCACTTGAACACACACAAAGCTGTGCGGAAATATTTGCTTCAGTGGGGGAATGTTGTGTGGTTTAAGAATAATTCCATTTGTTCAGGCTGTACTTCTTTGCCCAATTAATAATTATAAATTTAAGAAATGAAAAAGCACCTTGATAAAAAGAACAAAAAGCAAATTGTGAATAAAACAATTTTTCAATTTCATAGGTTAAAACAGGATCTTTGAGGACTGAACTAAATTATATAGCTGCTATTAGTCGCATTATGCTTTACTTCATAATTGAATGTAACACGCGCAGCCTTGCCGTGGCGCGAACAGCAGCAGCAGGAGTGGAGTTCAGACTGTTTACCCTTTACAGTATCCACAATTATCAACAGCACACCACACAGATTATAAGCACCAGCCACTTGTAATGTGGCATTTTGAATAGAAAAGCAGAAGTGCAATATGGCCGCGCTTTTAACACAATGTATTGACTTCACAGCCCAGCCCAAGCCTATTTTCATGGCTAAGTACAAAAATACAGAAAATAAACACGCGGGTGATTTTGCAAAAGTTGAAAAAAAAACCCTATGGTGTGTAAAATTATATTTCAAAGAATATTTGCATGAATGAGAGTAGTTTTATCAACTAATTTCAAGCCAGCTGTAATCTCTAAGTCAGGTCTCTACCTTGCTAAACAATGTGCTCTCCTAAGGTCCTCAAAGGTTTTGAGCCTCACCATCCGGCAATGCATTTGATCCCCAGCCTGGGGGAGACCACGAGGTTGAGGAGGGAGAGGGATGTGTTTTAATTTTCTTCCCGTTGTCTGAACGAACAGAAAGGCAGTACTTTAAAAACACACTACACCTTTGGCTGCGTGGTTCCTGAGCTCGCTGGCTGCATGGTGTGGGCACAATTTAACAAAAACACTGGCAGAAAAGTGCAGAATGGCACCGTTTTGATTACAGGCTTGCTTTTTAACGGAAATAAAATTTCACAGTTAACAATGAGAGGTGAAAAGTTTAAGAGGCAAAGCTGTTCCTCCTGATCACTGACTGTTAATCAGCTTCATGGGTGGTTGCCTAAATCTGTAGAATTTTTTTTTTTTTTTTTTTTTTTTTTTTACCTTGCACTACTGCCAAGATTGTAACTAATTTTTTCCCCTGTTGTAAGAGGAGGGGTGAAAAACTCGGCATAGAAGGCAGCTGTGTATGAGTGACGTGAGGCACTAATGCAGAGGGCAAAATTAAAATTCATGAATCTCTTCACAACCATTTGTGTAACAAGATTAAGACGGGACAGCGGAAAAGAGCGGCATTATCAGGCGTCTTACAGTCCTCCAGCTGGTTCCGCTCTATTCCAACACAGTAGGGCTAAGAGGATAACACGCAGCCCGAAGGAAAACGCAGCTCCTCCATTGGGGAGCGAGCTCGTCCCAGGGACCAGGGGGTTTGGCCAGAGATGGAGAGGAAGAAAGCTGATTGCCGCTCAAGATGGAAAACTTTTAAGCCCTGGCTATTAGCACGCGACAAACAAAAGCGTCCGGGGTGGAGGTTCCCGGCGGCCGCGCCGGCCCCTGCGCGTCCCCGAGCCTGGGGCAGGCGGGAGGAGGCGGGAGGGGACCGAGGGGACAAGGGTGCGGGCTCTGGAGTGGCCCCCTCGCCTGGGTGAAGAGCACCGGGGCTCGGCGAGCGGCGGGGCGCCCCCAACTCTCCCCTGCTTGGCCCGCGGCTCATTGCCGGGCCTCTAGGCGAGATCCATCGGGCAGCCTTCTCTTGCAAAGGAGACCTCCACGTGCGGGCTGGAGTTGGGTTCTCTGGGCCTGGCTCGGTCCAGCCAGCGCCCGGTTTCCCTGCTGCTGGCGCGGCAGGAAGGCAAAGCATTCTAGCCTCTGGTACAGAAGGGACGGCAGGCGTTCTTTTGCTAGAAGCACACCACCAAACCAGCAGCGCCTGGTCTCATCGTCGAAAATCCACCTCATGGGTGAACATTTATAGCATTTACCTAGGGTGCCCCAACTCCGCCGAATATTCCCCTAGGATGCTACTTGCTGAGAACAAAAAGCACCTTGCACTCCTCACCACAGCCACGGGAGGAGGGGAATTGTTTCTTAGTCCAACGTCCACAAGGTGGGGGATTTAACTTTTAAGCAATTATGAAGAGATAAAAAGTAAGGCCACTTATTTGTGAAAATTTATTTTTGTGGGACCAATCAGTCCATGGTTATTTAGGGAGTACTAACTGTGGGTATAAACATAAATATATCCATGTGAGTGTAAAAGGCATGCATAGTGATGTACGAAATGTGCTTTGCATGACAGTGCACAACGTTGGAAAAAGAGAAAGTTGCTGTCCGCTAGCTGCTGACAATCTAAAGTTGTAGACAAAGAAAAGGTAGCCACCAAGGATTCAAATGCAGCACAGGTTCGAACACACTTCCGGTCTTGCAGGTGGAGAAACCCAAGTCTTCGCTCTCTTGAGCTGTGACTGAAAAACTAAAACCTTCTGTTGTTTTGGGGGGCGAGCGGGGGAGTGAATGACAATGACATTGAGGCAGTCATCATCTGATCCCTGTAGATCTAGCCCTACCCTGGGGAGAAGGCAGATTTTATCCCTTGGGTGGGGGAGGAGAGACCTTCCTCCCGCCAGGTGAGGCCTCCAGCGCCATTCTTTTTGTTTTGGGGAGGGGTTGAAAAAGGAAAACATAGTTCTAGAGAGGCAGGTAAGATTTGAAGAATATGCAAAATCATTTTGTTTTTATTTTCCGATCCCTAAGCAAAGGGCCCAGTTCTTGCAGTGAGAGGAAGTGATTTAACCCCTTTAGTTCCCAAAGCATCATTTCTTTTCCAGGGGCTGAATGGAGCCCTGAGAGGCCCAAAGAAGTGAACCCATTTCTGGAAAGTGAGGATTTCCTTTCTTTTGCTGGGAAGATCAGATCCACTTTGTATATAATTTTTCAAAAGTCAATATACTTCTATATTATATCATAGTCCTGGGTAATAAAGAATGCTATTGATATTTTTACAGGAGAAAATTAAGGTCAGGACTTAATTTTTCTGCAGTTACAACTTGCAAAACGATGAAGAGTCAAAGTCTCTTGCCAAGGTCAGACTAGTTCAGAGAAGGGAGATTTCCATAAAGCACAAAATTACATAAGTAATACATGTTATGCTAGTAACTCTGACATGTATTAGCAAACATGAGGTTCCTAAAAAAGTGTTTGGTAGAATGCTTGCCTCTCAGTGTCCTATACTGGTGTACACCTATAAATAATTAAAAGGCTGATAATATTGCTTTATGTAAGCAAGCTTAGAAATCACTCTCAGATAAGTGCTTTTGACCTAAATCTTGTAGCTCCTCGCTCTGACATATAACCCCACAACTGTGAAATTCTGTAGGAGATTTAAGTCTCAAACTGCCAACTGACCCCGCCATAAAGCAAGCAGAGATAAAGATTTACAGTCCAACATGATACAATTAGACATTTACCTTCTATTTATTTCAGCGCAGCTAAGCATTTAACCTACTGAAGAGCTGAAGCTTTTTTATTAAAATGTAAATGCTTGTTTATCATTCATTCCATGCCACCTCCCCTGCATCCTACAAATTAGTCTATTATAAATGAAAAGATAACTTTGTTTCAGAGAAAAGAGTAAACAGGAATGGTTTCTGTAAAATCCTTCTAGACATGCGAAGATAAAAGATGACTTTACCATACAAAATAATCAGATACAAATAGCTGTTCAGAAGCAGCACACCTAAGAAGTACTTTAATCAAATATTTAGGTTACCTGCCAAAAAGACCATGATCTCTTCAAAATGCAATGCGGATTAAAGTGTTATCTAACAAGAGCAGAAAACTAACCTTGGAGTGGAAGTTTGAAATGTGTTCATCATAATTTTCATGTCTTTGGATAGAGAAACCAGCTTTTTCAGCTAGATTGCAAAACTGGGTTAAAGTGGTCCCTCGGCGTGGGGCGAATACCATTGCTTTCCCCTAGAACATTAAAGAGGAAATTTACACATTTTAAAACTGGAAGGCAACCAAACATAACAGATGTTGGTCAAAGCATTTACCATACTGCCCTCAGGTAGAAAATTCAATTGTTCCACCCAGGATGGGCATTTACAGTGAAAATAACTTCATTGATGGATGTACATTGAATAAGAAAAAAAATATTTCATATTCAAATGGCCAGTGGCTTTCAAACAACACATGTCATAAACCCAATGTGACTCAAAGTTGGGAGTCTACAAAACACACACCTCTTCTGGGCCCAGTGGTTTACACAAAAGCACCAGATTTTAGAGGAGCTGGTCCAGGGCAGTGCCACCCACGTTGCGACTCGCAGCAGCTGCCAACACATCCGCAACCCAGCTCCGGAGCATGTGGCAACAGATGCCTATGAATGTTAGTTTATTGTGCTCTGAAACTTCAGTACCAAGAAATCCTCCATGGAGACAAGTAACCACAATCCCTACTGGAGAATGTTCACATTTCAGTCCCACCACCAGCCTTTTCTGTGACCATGCTGTCAGACACAAGGCTACAAGGATCTTGGTTTCCAGCTTCATTGAATCCTTTAAAATGGTCATCATTATAGCAAAGCAGCTCCTGACAGTACTCAAATGATTGCTTTTCAAAGAAAGTGGTATAAAGAGGGTAAACAGACTTTTCTAAATAAACTGCATAGCCTTATAAGATTGCTGTAGTGGGGAGAAGGGGAGGACTTGAATAAAATGTATACAGATTTCAGAAGACCATCCGACACGAAACTCCCCAATGATCATGTGCTAACTACTGAGTGCGTGTGGATTTTTCCTTTTCCTCCTAGATGTGCACAAAATGGCTAAGCTTCAGAATCTTTTTTTCTTTCTACTTGATTAAAAGGTAACTGTATATGTCTATTAATTTCAAGGTTACACTTCACCTTGATGAAATGCCACGTTAGGTTTTGAGGGAATCATGAAAATCTATCCGTTTCTTACAAAAGGTGGTTTATCATTCACACCTGCAAACTACTTGTTGGAGCATGTGGTACGTGTCAGACAGTGGGAGGGGCGCTCTATACACTGTCTCCCTTAGTCTTCAAGCCACCAACAACGCAGCATTATCAGCTCCATTTTACAGGATGCTCAGATAGGTTGAATAATCGGCCAAGAAGACACACCTGGTAAATGATTGGAAATTTATCTGACTCCAATGCCAATGCTCTTTCTTGTACACTACATTGCCTCCTTATTAGTACTAGTGATGACAATAATAATAATAATAGCTACCACTGTGCTAGGTGCTTCAACCTTCCTTTAATCCTCTCAACGATTTTCTCAACAACCTTGTACGGGAGGCATTACATTTGACAGATGATTAAACATACACTGAAGGGGTTGAAGTATACAAGAAAGAACTGTGTGGCAGAAAAGAAAATCAGAAAACTATAAAGCTGTTGAGCCAGAAGGGACCTTGGAGATGTTAGTTTAAGCTCATTTGGCAGATGAAAAACTCAAGTCATTCTAGCTGACCCACTGAGTCTCGTCATCCAGCAAATCGGAAGAACAAAGCCTGCCCCTCCCTGCCCACGGCAAGTTGTGAGAATCAGAAGAGGTGATGAATATGAAAATAGATCAAAAAACAAGATTAAATAGATGTAAGAATGGAAGCATCTGTTCTATAGCACCTATCAGTGCTATAAAAAGTCTATCAATTCTCTCTCCCTGTCATCCTTTCCCTCATTTACCTGCAAGAAAAAGCACCGATACACTGTCCCGGACATCGAGTGTGTTTTCATACTGTGTTTACATAGAAATGTACACACTCAGGCACATAATTATAGCAGTACCAATCATTCCAATACACTTAAGGTTCTGTCAGCTTTTCCAATATTAATTGCTATTATCAGGTGGTTTTCAAACTTAGCAGTAAAATTTCATTTTCATGTGAAACTAGATATAATATATGGTCTCAGCAGGGGAGCAAAAGCCTCCATTAAAAAAAAAAAAAGAGGGAATATTAGTAGGTCATTTTAGTCATTTCTGAGAGATGGTTGCCCTTCTGGATTTTTGAATAATGGAAGTTTTGTTTTGTTTTGTTTTTTTATTTTAAACTCATGTGCAAATCTTGTCTTACAATTACAACAGAAGAATTTAATTTTTTACAGCTATTGTCTAAGCCGGCAATTTTCAATCTCTTTAATCTCATGGCACACATAAACTAATTACTAAAATTCTGTGGCTCACCAAAAATATACTTTTTGCTGATCTGACCAAAAAATAAGTATATATATATATATATATTTTTTTTTTGGTTAACTTACCAAAAAATAATAGTAATTACCTACTCTTTTTGCTCCAAAGTGACTTAAAAAAATCAGGAGCCTACACTTGCATATAAGGATTTCTGATACTGAGAATTAGCCAATCAGACACAAACTTCTTATGGCACATGGCCAGTAAGATGCAACTCCATTATATAACCTATATAGGTATGGTTCAAGACAGGACATCCACACCAGATGGCTATTGTGTTGGCTGTTGTTATTTTTTTATTTGACAATCTAAGGGAAAAGAGGTCAGTGCCCCTGACTAAATGGTCAGGTACTGTCTGTTTTTAAAAATTCTTGTGACACGCCGGGTGAAAATCACTGATCTAAGCTATTTGTCATAAGGTTTACAGGGCTCCCAGGCTCTTAGCTGGGTTGGTGCTTGCGTTTACAAAGCACATGCTCCCCACACTGCACCCCCATGTTGGCAGGGCTCGGCTGTTGGGGGCCTGCAACTAAGCATAAGGCAGCACACTCTGCACAGACATCTCTTTCCTCCTGTAGGTCTCAGTTTACCTGTTCTTCTCCATTAACTGCCCAGCCTCAAACAGCAGGCCCTCCTCCACCATTATTCACCCCTTTATTTTGTTCTTAGCGCTCATCACCTCTGACACACATTATGTCCTGTTTGTTACTGCCTGTCTCCTCTGGCTGGGCTCTACGCTCCATGACAACGGGATCTTCTCATGATTATTCACTGCATTTTCTCAGGCCTAATATAGAGTAGATACTCAATTAATATTTGTTGAGAGAATCAACTAAATCTAGATATTGAATAATCTGAGAAATACGAGTCTTGGGGAATTCAAAGGCCATGTTCTATTGCTTATTCTTTAGAAAAGGTTTTCTTCAAGTAGCATTAATAGAGTCAGCAGTTACGATGGGATTTTAAAGGAAGTACCCGGGCACAATACTGTACCCATGAGAAAGACGAAGGGCAAGCAGGAGTTTTCATCTCTAATTACTCAGTTATGAGTTTTACAATGCTTTCTCTTTCATTTCCTTTGAGAATACAGACACCTTTGAGATGTGGATTCATCGTTAGGAGGGACAACAGTACATCACCCATTCATTCAATAAGCATCCACTGAGCCCTACTGAGTGCCTGTCTCCACCCCATAACGAATGGTCTTAGAAACATCCCCCATCTCCAGTGGAGCCGGACCCTTTGTCAGGTACTATCAGAGGGATGTGCCTTACCATTTAGGCTACAAAAATAAAAACAAGTAAAAGAGATTTCAAAGTAGCCCATCACTTTAGAAAAATTATTTTTAATTTACCAAAGCACAAGTGTCTAAGCATTCACAGTCGCAGAAACATTTTAAACTCAGAATAAACACTCAATTGAATGTAAAAATTTGACTGATGAGAGAAATTTGAGATGATTCATTTATCCCTGGAGAGGAGAGAGGAGTAGTTTCACTAAACAACAGTGATATTGTTTACGTTGTGAGTGCAGTTGTTGTTATTTTGCTAGACTAATCTATACTCACACATTAAAGGGTGTGTACTTCTGGAAAAAATAAATACATTTCAGATTCATTTTAAAAGGAATAGGCTATGCCAATGAAATGCCTTTATTCCTTTTTCATTTCCAGGCAACCGGCCATTAAGTACCGATTACATGTTTAAGCTTATGTTTATTTTCTAACCTTTTCTTTACCTGATTTCTGAGTTGCTGCCCTTGCCAGCTTCCTCCTGCTTCCTCCCCTACATTTCTCTCAGTCCCTTCCCTGGCTTCTCTTCTTCCCCCTGCCCCTTAATTGTCAGTGGTCCTCAGAGCTCTGCATACTATTTATTCATATTCTATAAAGTTCTAGGCTATTGTACCAAAGCCCAGAACTTCGACTATCATTTATACATCAAAATTCCCAAGTATATGACTGCAGCATTCATCATTGCCTAGAGACCTCACCCATGTTTTCAGGTGCCTACTAGATCTCTCCATGGGCATGTTCTGAAAGTACCTTTAACCCATTCTGTTTAAAATGGAACGGAGTATCCTTGGTTCATACCCCTACCCGTCCCACGGCACTACTCATCCATCCCCGCCCCCCGCGCGCGCACACACACACACACACACACACACACACTCAGACACACAAGCTGAGCACCTACTAGGTACCAAGCACTTCCATATTCTTCACCCTTAAAATGAAGCTAAAAACTAAGGAGTCGTGGCATTGCCTTTTAAAACCCTCTAATGCCACATCTCCCAATCCATATCACTGTCCCCTGCTGCACGTGGTTCTCACACTGTTTCATTGCTTCTCGGGTGACCTGGAGGGGTAAAAGGGAGACCAGGGGAGAGGAAGTGCTAAACTTTTCATATCCGATCTCCTATCCAATTTAACTGAAGTTGCTTCACTTTTCTGTTTTATAATTTGGGTGTTGGCTAAAAATGTTTTGACCGAAAGGTTCTGCCATTTAAACAGGGTTGAGAACCACTAACATGTGTCCCACTTTTTGGGGACGAAAGGCAAAGCCCAGCAAGACCTGACCCATACCTATCTCTGCAGCATTGCCTCTCTATCTCCCTCATACTCACTTTGTGCTCTAATTAGGCCAAACTCCTTACAGTCCTCTGGTTTGTTTTAACATGGACGCCCATGTCTTCAAACCTGCAAACATGCCCTTCCAGTGGAATGCTTCTCTTGATTTCCAGTTCTTTGTTGGC